CGCATTCTCCGTATCCGCCAAAAAAACCTCCATCCCCAACCCCGGGTCCTTCCTCAGCGTCCACTCGGAAAACTCCAAGATAACATCAATCATCTCCGGCGGCAACCCCTGCAGATACCCCACCGTCCTCTGCGGCCCATGCAAGCCCGGCGCCGCCTCATCCGGCTCCGGACAGCTCCCAAACTTCCTCAAGAGATTCAACGCCTCCCGATGAAGCTTCTTGCCATAGAAAAAGTCAACCAGCTCATTGAATCGATTATGCTCCACCAACCTCTCATTCACCACATCCGGATCGCAAAAATTCGGTATCCGAAACAGCGAGCTCGCCAGCTGCGGACGCGAGTACATGAACGCCCTAAACAGCGTCGTGTCCACAATCTTGAACGTGTGCTGCAGCTCCGCCGCGAGCTGCAACTCCGACTCATCCACCTGCCGCGAAGAAAGCGTCAGATCCTCCTGAGCAGCCGTCTGGGAGGCAGAGAGCGTCTCCGACCGGGCCCTCCTCGGTTTCAGTTTCCCCGTAGCAGGATCAATCACCCTCTGCAACCTCGCCCTGGCACCAGCAAGATAAGAATTCAGTTCCAGAACCGCATTCTTCAAATCCTTCTCCTTCTCCTCCTGTGCGTGATGGTCCTCGCTTGATCGCCCCCTAACACTAGCCGCGTCATCATCCTGTGTTGTCCGCCGCGAAGAGGCGACAGAAGCAGTCTCAGGATTAAGCTGTTGCTTCCGATGTCCCATCAGATACTTTGCAAACCCCCCCCCTCCCCCCCCGCCAGCCTTGGGAGGAGAGGCGACAACCTCCGGCTCCGAGTGCTTCCCAACTGTACTCCCCTCATGATCAGAATCATCTTTCTTCTTCTTCTTCTCCTCCTCCTCCTGCTCCTCCTGCTCCTCCTGCTCCTCCTGCTCCTCCTGCTCCTCCTGCTCCTCCACACCCGACAAATCCCCCGCAATAATCCTGGGAAACAACTTCAAGACTCTTTCCGGTGGGGCATCCACCTCGTCTTCACTGAACAGGTCCATCGACTCCCTGTATTTCTTTTGCTTAAACAGCACCTCCGCCTTTAGCATCTTGACCTCCCTCATAGTCTCAGTCTTATTCTTCAACAAGGCGTCCTCCAGCATGCCGAGCACACTGATCGCTTCGTCCAGCCTCCCGTTCTTGACCAGCTCGTCAATCTGCGAGTCGTAATCCGTCGCTTCCATTTTCCACACTGCCCTATCGCTCAGGACGTGGAATCCCTTGCCCGTGTGCTGGACACTAACCGTCGGTGGGGGGAAGTGCAGAGCCGCCGCACCAGGGAGACTGATCGTCTGCAGTAGACTCAGCGTGTCAGGGTTGCGCACCTCCAGCGTCCCCTTCACCGGCGGCTGCAGAGCCAGAATGTATGGATAGCTGTACCCGATCGACTCGGGCGCAGACTGCCACGGGATCTGATGCTTCTCCAGCGCCCTCCCGGAATCGTCAATGAATAAAGTGTTGATGTCCTTTGCGAGCAACAACCCGCCCTCCGCGAGCTTGGTAGACAGCGGCTTAGGGATGTAACTCCCCAATCCCATATACGACATCCCAGTAGCGCTCACCGACCCGAAACGTCCCGTCCCACCCCCCCCTCCCGTCGTCCCGATCGCCCCTGGCCCGACGATATCCTCTATACTTCCCGTCTCCACGTCTACAATGACAAACCCGCCGTTCATGCCGCAGACGATCTTGGTGGCGTTTGCCCAGGTTAGTGACCGGATTGATTCCGAGAGTAGTATCTCGGTCACATCGGGGGATAGCTCGCTCTCCTGCCATGACCAGAGCAACAACCGGCGTTTTACAGCCACGGCGAGCCTGGAGATGATCTCTGGGACGCCTGTTGACGGGTCCTGGACTACGTTGCTTGTTACGGCGAAGGTGGAGGCGTTTTTTGTTTTGGAGAGGGGGGCTTCGATGGGGGAGAAGGTTTGGAGGTCGTGGAGGGAGACGGTGTAGTTTGAGAGGGAGACTAGCGTGTTGGCTCCTTTGATGATGGCCAGCTGCTCGATGGCGCGGGGGGAGAACTTTTCTACCTCGCGGAGGAGGTCGGTTGGTTTTTGGGGTGGTGGTGGTGGTTCATCGTGGGAGGGTTGGCTGGTGGAGGTTTGGGAGGGGGGGTGGTTTGGGGGATCGGATGGTGGTGGGATGTCGTTTACTCGGTAGATTCGAAGGGAGCCGGTGTTGAGGCCGACGAGCACGCGGTCGCCTGTCAATATATGAATTAGTAGATGCCCGTAGATCAGTGGTAAAGAAGCTGTGTACCATAAGCCAAGATGGACTCAATCTTGGACTTGTCCCGCTGCTTGAGCTCGATGATGGGCCGAGCCGTGAATGCGGACAGCATCGTGGCGGACGGCTATTATTATTGTGTGTGTGTTTGCGCGCCGCGCCGGGCGCGAGATGTGGTAATAGGTTTGCGGTTGCGGTGTTAGCTGTCCCGGGCGGAGATTGATACCCAGCTTTCTCGCTGTGTTGAGCTGGCGCGGCGGTGGAGAGGGGATGTGCAGCATCGATACCCAGAGGAACAGAACAGCTTCCCCGAACAATCTGATGGATCAATGCGGAGACTTGAGGGCCATGGAGCTGCGACGGAGGAGGCTATAACACGGTAGAAGAGACAGAAAATAGACACCTCCAGAGCTGCGAATGACGCACATTGTTGGAGGTCAGGCATAGCTCGCGCGTCAGCAGGTGATTGCGCGGGCGGGATAAGGGTTAGGGTTGATGATGTATCTTGGACAGGACTAAATACTCCGTACTTTTATGACACTTCACCTCGCAGCAGGCTAGCAATAGGACTTTTGAGGGGAGGAGAGGCAGTGAAAAGGGGTAAATACAAATGATATCTTATTAGTCACAGCGTACCAGAACTGAGATGAGACTGTCACCATTCGTGATGCTCACTAAAAAGTACGTAACAGACGCTTGGCGGGTGTTTTGATTTTCTGGGCCAAGGTTACAGGCGGTATTCTGTATAACAGAGCGTACTCAATTCAAAGGGTATCATAGTGAAGATAGAAAGTGTCTCTGAACTTGAATCATGCGGAGGTTTGTGCTTCAACATTGCGGCAGACAACCCTGAGAACTGGGCGAGCCATCAAGGTTCTCCCACACTGTGGCAGCCACACTTTCCGGTCAGTGTTGGCAACGAAGGTTTCAAACGCCTGAAGAGAGCAAACCTTAAGCCAAAATGTGGCGAGAAAGCATCAGCCTCTCTTCCATCTCTCCCTGTGGATTGAGTTCCTCTCATGCTGCCTGGTGTAGCTTTCCCCAAGAAATGCACAAGTTCTGTTCTTGGTTACACAAACGGCTTTGCAGAAGCACGTAATGCCTGTTCGTCTGGAGCTGTACAAAAAACGTCGTCAGTGCAACAGGGAGAAGAGGTGAACATGTTCCAGCAAGTCATAGGGGTCTTGTAGGAGAAGTTCTCCAATTCCAAAAGAAAAATTAGATCGAGAACATCTCTCTTGTTTTAAATCTACACTTCTAATGTGTGATTTCTAGACAGAAAAAACACAGTAAAATACACACCCTCTGTATCCTCCTCGTCTGATAGTGCCGGAAGCCGTTCCAAGATTCTAGACCAACAGGCTGGTGGACCGCGCCGCGGGTTGGTGGGGACAGCCCTGGGCGCTGGACCACTGGGGGTCCTCGGAATGACGGCGATGGTTGCATCCACCCGACACAATGGGTTTATCTCTGCGCCCAGTTCCTGTTTCCTTGCTGTAGAAAACTCCCCTTCTTTTGTTTTGCACAGCATGCCGTCAAGGCAACATCTTTGAAAATTACACCCCCATCCGCCTTTCAGGAGGTCCCCTCCTCTCTTTACGCACCACAAGAAGCCCGTCGACCACACAAAACCTCGGACCTTCTTGTCAGAGGAGGGAGCAGCAGTAGCAGCACCGTTGGAGAAGAGTACGAGCTAGCCGAGTACAAGTCCGGCGACAAACAACGGGAGCGGGAACGGGAATACAACGAGAAAACACGCGACCGGCAGCGCAGGTACAACGTCAGGCGGGCCGAGAAGCGCCGTTGGCTCGAACACAACGACGAGATGAAGTTCTCCCACAGCATCCAGTTCAATGCTGTGCCGGACTGGAGCAACCACTACATCGCCTACAGCACCCTCAAGAAGCTAATATACTCGCTCGAAAAGTCGATCCACCTCGCGTCCGGGGGCGACGGCGAGTCGCGACCCCTGATCCAACATGACGACCCCGAAACCATCTTCACCCGCGCCCTCGATGTCGAGCTGGAAAAGATCACATCTTTCTACGTCATCAAGGAGAAGGAGCTGACAGACGAGGTCGACGCCCTCTTGAAAGAGGTGGCCGCATTCGAGGAGGGAGCCGACGAGCACACACGACCCGCCACCCGGTCCAGCGAGCGACCACAGCTGCGCTACCGCAGCCAGAGCGCCAGGAGCCGTCACTCAACCGAAGATGACGGGCAAGAAGACAGCGACGACGACGACGGGGACGGCGAGGCGACCGGGCTCACCAAGAGGAGAAGGGGAAGCTTTGGGAGACGCAGGACGATCCCCAATGCCATGTTGGCCTCCACCACCGACATGACCGCTTCCACCGAGCTCACCAGGTCGCTCAGAAGGCTGAGCGTCACGTACGATGACTACGCCGAGCAGGCCGCTCTCTTTTCCAACGGCATCATGCTCAAGAAGAAAATCATCGACGTCTACGTCCGCCTCTGCGAGCTCAAATCCTACAGCCAGCTCAACAGGACCGGCTTCAACAAGATTCTCAAAAAGTTTGACAAGATTTGCGACCGCCGGCTCCGGTCAAAGTACATGAGCAGCTTTGTCGACTCTGCCTACCCCTTCAAGCCAGAGACGACCAAGTCTTTGGAGGAGCATATCCAGCGCATTGTCCAGGCCTACGCCGAGATCGTCACGGACGGCGACGAAGCCGCCGCCACCAAGGATCTCCGGTCACACCTGCGCGAGCACGTCGTCTGGGAGCGCAACACGGTCTGGAGGGAGCTGATCGGCCTGGAAAGGCGAGCCGAAGCCGCCAGCCTGGGCCACACGCTGCTCGGCCGGGAGGCGGACCCCCAGGCTACTCGGCTGCAGGGCGATGATGACTTGGTGTTACCGACCAAGGCGATAAGCACCCCTCTTGGGCGCTTCAACCTGCCGACCTGGCTCGTCAGCTCCACCATGTTTGCGCTTGTCGTCATCTTTGCCGTCTTTGTGGCCATGCTGCTGGTTCCGATCATGGAGAAGCCGGAGCAGCAGAACTGTCTGGCCATTCTGGTGTTTGTCAGCTTGCTCTGGGCGACGGAGGCGATCCCGCTGTTTGTGACGTCGTTGACGATTCCGTTCTTGTGCGTGGTGTTGCAGGTTTTCTTGGACAAGGACGAGCCTCACAAGCGGTTGGGTGCCAAGGACGCCACGGCTGCCGTGTTTGCGGCCATGTGGACGCCGGTCATCATGTTGTTGCTTGGTGGATTCACGCTGGCGGCTGCGTTGTCGAAGTGTTATATTGATAAGCGGATTGCCACGTTCGTGCTGAGCAAGGCGGGGACCAAACCAAAGACTGTGCTCATTGCCAACATGGCTGTTGCGGCTGTGGCGTCGATGTTGATCAGCAATGTTGCCGCGCCGGTTCTGTGCTTCGGCATCATTGAGCCCATGCTCCGGAACCTGCCCTCGGGATCGGACATGTCCAAGGCTGTTATCATTGGCATCGCGCTGGCTTCGAACATCGGTGGGATGCTCTCGCCCATTGCCTCACAGCCTTAGCTTAAGAAACGCAAGATCG